TTTTTTTTTTTCTTTTGCGGGGTGCTGACCGACTGTCGACCGGTAGGTGCCAACGGGTGGGATGGCCGACTGGGCGGTGGCTAGGCCAAGCTGGGAGTGCTGAACATTGGTGTGACTACTCTGGTCTATGTGCAGGCCACCTGAGTGGGGCCATTGTAATGTATGCTGGCAGATGTCTTGGTGCTTACCTGTTCCCTCGTTCTGCAATGGAATTGAAAGTTTCTTAAGAAAACTGCAGCAGGAGGTGTATGTCTTGTATGTTACAGCGGTGCGTCTTGCATTCAGCTCATCATTTTCATGTATTGTTCGAAAGCCGGTGTTGGCTCCGTCGTTTGTTTCGTCTTCCCTTTTTGGCCTGCAATCGACTGTCTGTTTTTGACCCCGTTGCTCGCAATTTCTTGTGCTGGCATATGGTGCTCTGCCATGCGGTCACCGCAGGAGAGGGAGGAAGACGCCAATGGGCAAGAAATTCACAGTGATAAGGCGGAAAGTGTGGCCAATGCCTCTTCTCAGAGGCACCATAAGGCCTCACTAATAAACCTTCAATTGGAGAACTATAAACACCAGGTATTATTGTACTACATGAGTGTGCCTCTTCCATCTGCCATTTGTCATTGTTCAGATACGGTAGAAACTTGTGAAATCATCTCTGCACGCGCTTTGTCGACGTTTGTTGCTTTAGAATGGAAGTTAAAGTTGAGATGGAAGTAATCATCATGCATGTTGTGGCTACACCGGTTTCCGGGTGGCCCGGATTGGCTCTGTCAGAGTCTGTCCGCTTGGGTACCACCTAGGCGGGCCCATCCGGGCGAGGTCCAGGCAAGGTCTTGGGCAGCCCTTCCGTCTTCACCCAAAAATAACACCCGCCGGGCGTTATATTCGTTGATAATATTCGTTTATAATGCCCAGGCGTGGCAACTTTGGTTGGGCCCCAAAATTCCGAAAAAAGAAAAAAAAAAGTTATGAAAAAAATATATATTGTACAGAAAAATTGCAATGCAGCCGACTTTTGGCCGAGGGTCACTTCAGAATTCCTCACGAACTCAGAAATAAGAAAATGAAAAACAAAAATCAAACCGAAACATTCCCCTTGAAGTCAAGATCCCAACCCCCTTTAAAACCTATGTTTTCCCCCCTTCCCGCCCATCAAAACCCATGTATGCTACCTCTACAAGCCACTCTGCCCACGGAACATTCAAATATAATGTCCGGGTGTTATATTTGAAGGGGCGTTCTATTTGAAAGAAAAAAGTGAGTACGGACGAAAATCTGATCTTTTTAGGGTAAGTTGTATATAACGCCTGGGCGTTTTTTTTTGGGGGTGAAGACGGTAGGGCAAGGTATTGACAAAATAACAGGAAATCGAAAATTCTGCAAACGACATGCAGCCACCTACAGGAGCCTACAAGTCAGCAGTCCTTCACTCACAGTGGGTCTCAGGCAACCGAAAGCCTCTGCCATATTGCACAAATCCCCGCCACCCTGGAAAGCCAGTTCCCCTGTGTTCTCGCATCTGGTGTCTCAGGCGCTTGCGGGATGGTAATGTTGATCGTCGAGGACCATGATTGAAGGTGAAGAAATAAAGTTTAATAAACAAATGAATTATCGAATATTTATTTCGGAGTTCCAGGCAAATATAATCAATATAATTAAAAAAATAAAGATTGATCTGGTTTCAAACCCTGTTTACACCCCGTAAGCCCCCCCCTTGGGTGATCCATCAGTAAGAATGGATGGTGACTGTGCAGGCCATGCACAATCATGGCCTGTGGTCAGTGTGTCTTTTATGTTTTTTGGAATCCGTGCCCTGTTTTCGACCCGCTTGGTTTTCCTGGTTTTGGGGGGCGTGGGGGGGGGAGGGGGTTGCCTGCCAGTCCGGACAGGGCCGGCTGGGCACCTCCCCGGAACAGTATGGTGGCACATTCCTCGTTGATTGATTTTGTCGAGGGGGGGAAATCTCTGTTTGTACGTAAGTCAGGGGGGAGTTGGACAGAGGAGGTTGAGAAACATAGTGGGGTCGGGATGGATGGTCGGATGATTAGGGTTCATCTAGAGGGAGTATGATGGGTCCAACCAGATGGTATGCCATTCTATCAACTTGATGCCTCTACTGGTCTAAACCCCATATACCCATGTGCCACAGGCAGGTATAGGTTTCAAGGGATGCCAGTGTCTGACCGGGTCGACCTGGACCCTGCGAAAGGTTATAAAAACTGTTTAAGTGTCTCAGCAGATTCTTGCACATGCATCTGGTAAGGAAGAATGCTTGTCCATCTTGACGCAAACTAATGGAGGCAAGTCGTTCTGATTTTCCTTCTGCTTGTGAGTTGCAATTACATATGGGGAGACACCGGGTATCGAATGTTTTGGTGTATTGGGTGGTGTTATGTTTCAACTGCAGATCATTGACAATCCCGATCTTGAAGAGCTGCGGGAATTGGGCTCGGGAACGTTTGGAACAGTCTACCACGGGAAGTGGAAGGGCACAGATGTGGCGATCAAGAGAATCAAACTCAGTTGCCTCAATGAGCAGCGTGTGGTACGTATCGCTAATGTACATATGTGTTGTATATCTGATTTTGCATTCAGTAATCCCTTTTTTTTTTGGGGGGGGGGGGGGGKGKGGGGGKGGSGGGGGGGGGGAGAAGCAAGGCAAAGGGACCGGATGAGCTGCTCTCGTAGAGAGAGTGTAAGGGGATGTTCCAAATTGATATCATGATGCAAAGCCGAAGGTTGAGACGAGAGCACGAACAGCATCACGGATAAAGGGTCGAAAAAAACGATAATATTTCCAATGGAACGCTTCCATAGTCCAGCCACTGTAACTGTTACTCTCAACTCTCCGCGTCTCTTATCATGTCATGTGAACCAACCAATCAACAAGTGAAAAGTGAAACAATGTCTGAGCAATCTCGCCGGCAATGCTGTGGTGAATGGACTCTTCGACAGCCTCTCCGCTCATCTATCATGCGTGCAAATTGTGTAACCGCGACCAGCATTACATCATGATTGAGGACTCGAGAGTGATGTACAGCCGACAACACAGCAGAACTCCCTTCTCTCACGCAATTCGGCAGTGCCATGCCTCTAAATGTAAGTCTGAACACGAACCTGCACCCCAGGGGGGTACGTGATGAAGTCTTGAAGCGATGAAGAACTGGACTCCGCCATAGCTACAGACAAGTCTGCACTCTGTTTGACCTTCTCTACCTCCTCCTCTCACTCGCATGTAGACCCTCTCCTCATATTCAGGCACAATGCGGGCACTAACCCTAGGTATTATATCCAGACCCTTCTTCTTCGGCCTCCTACTCAACCTCCGTAACCATGTGGGTCATCTCCACCATTGTTAAGCTCCTCCTCCACGTCCCTGCTGCTTGGCAAGCTCACCCTCGACAAGAGGAGCACAACTGTTGTCCCAAACGATGTACTTCACGGGCTGGTTGCTTTGGCAGAAAAGCTCGTGAGCCTCCTGCTCTTTCCCTCTTATGTCTACCCACGGTGATTCGATGCCTACCAAATCATGAGAAAGGGGGGAACATGGCAGCTGACTGCAATCCATCCACCACTAGCAATCTGATAAGAGTAGTGGAGTCTGGTGATCGGTAACCTGGTCTGCTTTTATCCAGACTTCTGACACTAATCGTGTGCTTGTCTGGTTGGATCCATCGTAATTAGTCAGCGCAAGAATGTTTGCAATGACCGTGAAATACGTATGACACCGACGGCAATGAAACACCTCTGAACAACACTGCATATTTCTTCTGTATCCGGAAGTGGGAACAGCCAGGCAAGTGCACGTCTTCTTGGAGCACTATGAAAAGTTGTATGGAAAGTGCCCGTTTTGAATGTATGGTTCTGCTAGGTAAGTGACGGTGTCAGTTGTGGGACATGGTGTGACACATGCAATGGGAGATACGGAGAAATGCCCTTTATAAGTTATGGGTGACAGATGGAGAAATGGTCCAAATCGAAGGAAAAAAAACGAAACAGTTGTCGTTGTCATGCAGTGATGGTTGTTATCAGAATGTTCATGCCAAGAAAGTTATGGCATTGGACGGAATGATTGGAGGCTATGGTACCGGAGCGGCCTGGGACCTCTTGCCCGGCTGTGCCAAAAAAAAGAAAAAGAAAAGAAAAAAAAAAGAAATAAGAAAATAAAGATTTCTTAATTTATTTTTTATTTTTTATTTGGCAAATAATTTCGATGTGACCCTGAGGCAAAAGTTGTTCAGTTTATTTTTATGCACAACATTATTTTTTTTCCGGTTTTTTTTTTTTTTTTAACAGGGACCTTCCCTGGCCGTTGTTGCCTGGCAGGGCCGCCCGGGCAACCAAGGTCAACTGAGCGGCCTGGTTGGTAACAAAGATTGGAGGGGTGCTGTTTTGTAGGCGGCAAAACTGCTCCTCACTTCACAGAAGGCATTCGGACCAATTTGGCAAGAAGTGAATGGAAAAACTCGATCGTGGTTGTGATTGAGGCAAGAAGCGAATGGAAAAACTCGATCGTGGTTGTGATTGACACCCAGGCACAATGAAATTGCAGACGGTTGTATTGATGCGTCCAGAAACCGGGTGCAGGTTGGAAAGAGTCCTAAGCAGGCGTTGGCGGATTGTTCACACCTATGCGCCAAAGTATTGGGATGGCTTGTGGGGAGGGATAGGTGTGTGACCTCATGGCCACCTTTGAAGCAAACTGGGATTCGTAAGCTGACAGGTATTCGAGATAAGTTAGGCTGGATGGAGAAGCAAAGACCAAAGAATGGGCAATCAAGGTGATGTAATCTCGAAGACCTGTTAATTGAAGATAGACACCATAAAATGCTTCTAGTGTGACGGTGGGAAGGGCAAGATTCAATGTTGCTCCTAGTATCAGGATGCCTACTAGTGGAAGCAAATTGCGGGCGTTCCTACTTCGTTTGTCTACGGTGCACTCTAGTGATGATAGCAAATATGTTGCTCTTGATCACGTGTTTCTGCGCAGTTGGATGACTTCTGGAAGGAGGCAAACTTCCTCGCTGAAAGCCATCATCCAAATGTGGTGGCTTTTTACGGTGTGGTGACCAACGGTCCTGAGGGGAGTCTTGCTACAGTGACGGAATACATGGTTAATGGGTCTCTACGGCAAGTGCTCCAGCGCAAGGATAGGTAGGGGTTCTTTCGTCGCAATTCACACTCCCTTAGTTGGGGAGTTCACCCTGCCAACTCCGAAGAATGTAGTTGTACCCTGTAGCTGGTGGACCCAAGTTTCTGAGTGTTTGACGGGGTCGTGGTTTTAGTACTTTCGGGGCGGCATTGTTGTTGCTGTGGGGGCTGATACTGGTGGAGGGGGATTCTATTTTCCATGTTCTTTATTTGGGCTTCGGTTTGCCAGTCTTTCGTTTCATCAGTCCCATTGTGCCTGCTATCCGGAGTTCTTATAGGAATGGGGGCGATGCGATGGCATTATGCAGCTCCACAGGATGAAACTTCCCGACCTCTTGAGTGATGTGTTTATGGGTGTGATCTCTGACATGCAGGCGCACTTGCACTGTGAGCTGCAAAGAGTTTAACTTTACTTCGTTGAAGATGGTTCAGCTGTTTTTTGTTTTTTGCTCTGGTGCACACACACTCGCATCCCAAACAGAATGAAAATTATCAGCCCTGTTAAAGCTGTATGGAGGCATATTGATGAATAGGACTTTCCGCGATGTGTGTATGTTCTTTACCTTAACTGTCCAAAGTCACTTGAGGAAGTCCCTAGGTAGTGTGAGTTATGCCGTTTGGGTCATGAGCACACTGCCTCTGCTTTGAATCTGTGCACTGTAGCTTTTCCTGTTTTTTTCTTTTTTCTTTTTTTCTTTTCTGTCTTGCCTCCGGCTTTCCGTTTGTTTTTACCCCATTCCATCCTTGATGCTTCCATTTTCTTCTCTCCTCTCGATTTTGCATCTGGACAACCTCCACGGTCCTTGAGGGTTTTCTGTTTGTCCTTTTCGGCTTTCGTTCTGGCAGTTGGAATTTTTGTTGAGCACACCTTGTCAACAACCCAAGCCTAGGGAGTGCTTGTGTTGGCGGTTGGTTCATGTGAACAGAAGTGGATGGTGCAGTTGTGGAAATTGTTTATGAAGGGTTTTCACTGTGCTTTTCGTTCTTTAATGCGAAGATCAGACTGGCCTCCATATTTTTCGACTTGCTAACGGACTGTTAGTTGGACTTCTTCTGGTTTTTGACAATATGAAGGATGATGGATCGCCGCAAGCGTGTCCAGATTGCACTTGATGCTGCCTTTGGAATGGAGTACCTTCATGCCCGCAACATCATTCACTTCGACTTGAAGTGCGAAAACCTTCTTGTTAACATGCGTGATCCTCAGAAGCCTGTATGCAAGGTGAGTTTTTCCGTATGATGACACAGAGAAGAGAACCAATTGTTGCTTGCTGGGTGCACAGCATGGGACATGAACTGTGGGGATTAGAAAGTGAAAAGTGAATGTGATCTTGTTGCAGCAATGTGTGCGACTGAAAGGCGTCGTGCAATTTTTACATGTTCTTGTCTTCTGGTCGCCCACCACACTGCGTGTGTTCTTCCATGGCGTAGACATGCACAACAGGTGCACAGTGATTGCCGGATGGTGAACTGTGAGCAGGGCCTCACTATTTTAAACCAGGACCTTTGCAGGATTTGTGTGAGGGGTGAGAAGCGAGGGGCTCTTGGTCAAGGGTAAACCGTCAACGTCAGATTTACAATTAGGGGAAGGGCCTGCTGGTGCTATGCTCATGCTTGGAAAGCGTTAATATGGCCTTTATACCTCTCCGCTGGTTGGTGCTGTTTAGCATGAACGTAACGCAGAATGGGGCCGACCTCTTAGATATGGTTATGGGACGGGGTCAATTCGAAGACGTGAGTCACGATTACAGATTGATGTCGACTGATCTCAGCAGGTCCTAGCCAGGTGCAAGTTGGGTGTTGCAACGAGATGGGAAGTTTTGGGTGACCCTCTTGAGATGGATATGGAGTATTATGGACACTTTGGGCAGCGAAGGGTTGGATTGGCAAAATGACTTAACATATTCTACATAATGACTTAACATATTCTACATCGTGTGCATTAGGGGCACCACAATTACCGTTGAAGTTAACCTTGAAGCCTTTGGAGTAACTGCAGAATGGGACGAAGGGGTCTGCCATGATTGATGGGGGAGGGAGGGAAAAAGCGTCAGGCGTAAAGCATGACAGTGGTGGTCAGGCGTGGGGGGAAATGAGAACGAGGGTGACGATGAAGTGTTGCAAAACGGGAGGCACTGAGGAGGGGGGGGGGGGGAGGGAGGGAAAAAGCGTCAAAGTCAAATGTGGAAGGTTGGGGAGGGAATGTGGGTGGCGAAAGGGTAAAGCATGACAGTGGTGGTCAGGCGTGGGGGGAAATGAGAACGAGGGTGACGATGAAGTGTTGCAAAAGGGGAGGCGCTGAGGAGGGGGGGCGGGGGAGGGAGGGAAAAAGCGTCAAAATCAAATGTGGAAGGTTGGGGAGGGAATGTGGGTGGCGAAA